TATCTTGTAATAACCTTTAATGAAAAAGAATATGAAAACGAATATGTGTATGTATATGTGTGACTGGGACATTGTGCTGTACACCAGAAATCAATACATTGTAACTGATGGTACTTAAATTAAAACAAACAAACAAAAAAACAAATGAGAGAGTAAACCACATATTAAAAAATGAGAGGGTAAACCTGTTGATCACTAGGTTCCCTTTCTGGCTTAAAAATAGATCAGTTACAGTGACCTCCCCAGTTTGAAATATGGTGTACCAAACTTAAAATGTAAATGCTATTTGGCCCATTGCTATGATTTTATTCTCAGGACAAAACAAGTAAACAACCAAATGAGGGCATGAAGGTCCATGTAAAAGGACACATACTGCAGAGATGTTTCTGAACCATAATAGTGAGAACACCTTAAATGTTCCCAAAGGGAGGATTTTGTTTGTAAACAAGCAACGGTCCATACAATGGAATCCCCTACAGCCACTCAGAATGTTGCTGTAGTAATTTGTTTGTAGATGAGATGGGAGGAAGTGAAGAAAGGTAAATTATACAACAGCAGGTGTGTGTCATTTGACCCAGTTCATACTGAATCAAAACTATCATATATGCGTTTTCACATTTGTGTATGTAGAAGGGCGTCTGGAAGGAAATATAGCAAGATGTTCATTGCTTTCGGGTGGTAGGATTGCTAAAGGTCTTTATTTAATTAGTTAATTAATTTTTATGTTTGCTTATTTATATTTATGAGTTTCATATAATGAACATGCAATAATAGAAATAGCTTCTTTTTATGAGGTGCAGGCTGTGTACAAAACCCATCAATGTGTTTCATTTAATCCTCACAATGATCATTTCAGGGGTGTTGGTAAACCCAGTTTAGAGGTGGGGAAACTGAGGCTTAGCAAGGATAAGTCCTATCCTGTATTAATTTCTTATGGCTGCTGTGACAAATTACTAGAAACTTAGTGGCTTAAGACAAACACAAATCTTACAGTTCTGGAGGTCAGAAGTCTGAAGTGGGTCTCACTGCGCTAAAATCAAGGTGTCAGCAGGGCTATGTTCCATTCTGAGGCCCCCAGGGGAGAATCTGTTTCCTTGCCTTTTCCAGCTTCTAGAGGCTGCCTGCCCTCCTTGGCTCCTGGCCCCTTCCTCCATCTTCAAAGGCAGCAATGTCTGGTCAAGTCTTTCACACATGGCATCATTCTCGTTCTGACAATCCTGCCTTCTTCCCCGTTTAAGGACCTTTGTGATTCCATTGGGTCTGCTCAGATAATTCAGGGTTATCTCCCAATGTAAGGTCAGCTGATTAGCAACTTTAATTCCATCTGGTACCGTAATTCCCCTTTGTCAGGTAATACATTCACAGACTCTGGGAATTAGGATGTGGACATCTTTGAGAGGCCATTCTGCTGATCCTCCTTGCCCAGGGTTTCATAAGGTACTACAAGGTGATGGATTAGGAAAGTGAATGCATTCTGACTTCCAATCCTGTGCCTTTAGGTTATGCTATGTGGCTGATTATTTGTATATTGAAGACATTTAAAAACTCTTTATAGGTTAAAAAAATAAAAGGAAAGTCTCTTCCCTGTCCCTTCAGCCTTATTCAGCCTTTTTGCTATGTCATCCATCTGCCCCTTCCTAAATCCCCCATTTCAGCAAAAGCAGTCTGCCCGCTGGCCCAAGCCCAGCACCGCAACACCCTAAGCTTGCTGTCACTTCAGGTCATCCTCACACTGTCTCTTGAACTTGGGAGTGTCACTCTTGGTCATCTGAGAAGCTAATGACAAGATGAAATTCAATGTGCAAGGAATTTATTGGGAGAGATGGCTGGGAGGGAAAATGGGGGGAGGCTGGAAGAGACCCTGAGCCTGACTGTGGGAGTGAGGAAAGGAAGCAGCCTAGCCTGCGGGGCAGTTTCAGGGAAACAGACAAGCCAGTTCTGACACAGAGGAGCCCCCAGTCTCCCAGCTCTGCCTTAGTATCCCTGCCAAGCTCAGTCATGGGCTGGGGGCAGCCTGCCAAATTGTGGTCTTGGACTTAGAGCAGAGAGCAGCCGCTGGGGCCCTGGCCAGCTCCTCTCCCAGCAGTGAGAGGTGTGAGAGCTGCATTCTCATGGATGCCATGCAGGGTCTTCATGGTGATTTACTGTATAAACCTCCAGCGGAAAGCTCTCACAAGGGCAAAGACCATGCCTGCCTCTCCTATTCCTAGCACTTCCAGCTTAAGGACTCTGTGTCCAGCCTTGGGGACCAGGTGGGCTTTCATCTGCTTTGTTAATCTACCTCTCCAAGCCTCAGTTTATTTATCTATGAAATGGGTTGATAGGAGTACCTTCCACACTGGATGGGTGTGAGGATGAAACGAAACGTTGATTGTCAAGACCTTTGGTCATGGCCAGGCACATGGGAGTGGTAATGGTCAGTAAATGGTAGCTGTTCTCACTGGAGCACTCTGACCCGCACACAGTAGGTGCTCAGTACTTGTAAGTGTTGTCATTGGGGCATACGTACAATGGGTACTTGGTTAATGCTACTCATCCGTGGAGTGCGCTGACCTGCAGAGAGCATGCACTTGGTAATGGCAGCAGTCTTTATTGGAGCATGCTGACCTGCACACAGTAAATATGGTTTGGTTGGTTTCAACCATTGTTTTAATGGAAGTGGTTCCAGTCCTCTCTCCTTGCTGAGCAGAGGAGACTAGGCTAATAGAGACAGGGAACGGCGTGGCAGATCCTGCTGGTCACTCCCCATCACTCCATGAGCCTCCATAACCTCACCTATAAGCACAGTTAAGCACTATGCACCTAGAAGACACTCCATAAAGTCGTTCCCACCTCTTAAGTTTCCAATGAGCATCTGTGCTTAGTCCCAGAGAATAACTCAAAGCAGATTTTAAAAATCTCTTTCTGAACCTTTTCTATGAAGGTGCAACCGTCTCTTCGGACCAAAGAGTTTTTGTTTCTGTTTTGTTTTGTCTTTTTTTTTTAACACATGGCTCGTGGGGAGGCATCTATTATCTCACAAGCATTTATTGAGAGCTGTTTAATGTAAACAGGAAAGGTGCTCTGATTTCCCCAACTGCTGCTAATTAAGGAGGTGCTGTTGATATTGGTATTGCAGATGCAATGGTCTATCTTTTCTGAATGTGATGTTTTATCAGAAAGCAAAGCTTCAGTAATCTGAACCTAAAACCAACCAGATGAGTTTTTTATAATTCACTTGTTTTCTTATAATAATAATAATAGTAATGACAATATCATATACTAAGTTGCACTTAAAAGGCACTATTTTAAGTGCTGGGGGCAAGACCAGTGACCAAGAGAGAGAACTCTCACAGAGTTTATATTCCAGTGTGCAATGGTGTGGTTCAGATGATAAACTTGTAATCCCAAATGCTCTGAATGTTCAGAAAGAGAAAGAACAGAATGGGTCTGGATGCAGAGATCAGGGCATTTCCCAGTCTTGATGGGTCGGAGAAGGTGGAAGTGACGTTTAAGATGAGTAAAGGTGAACTTGGACAAGATACAGTGAGGGTTGGGGGAAAGAAGGATGGAAAAGTGTTCCAAGAGGGAAGAGCATGTGCAAATGTCCAGAGGTAGAAAGACAAGTTGGAACTGAAACAAATTCAGTGTTTGGAGAGAAGAATGAAGGAGAGACAGGGAGGTGAGAAATGTCTACAAGGACTATTAAGTCTAGACTCCATCCTGAGGCAATTAGAGTGGGGCACAGAGGGCTTTAAAGAAGGGAGGTGAGGTGTGGACTGATTTGATTTATATCTGAGAAAGATCACAGTTTGTAATTTAATGTTTGTTGAATGTCATTAATGTTTCTCTCCACTGCCAGACTATACACTCCATGAATTCAGGGACTCTTTTTGCTAACAAGGTTCTCAAAATGCATTTATGGAAGAATTGATGGAAAGAAGCAATAATCATATTAGTGCTTCATGTCGAAGGCATTACTTCTGGTCTGGACTTAAGTAGACACTTAACTAGCTGTGATTCATTCCCTTTAAAGTACATATTCTTTGACCTAGTATCCTCTGTCTAATAAAATTTCCCTAAAACTATCCACCAAGTGGTTTGTTGAATAAATTGTGGTGCATCTAGAGAAGCTCTGGGGAAACTGCTGGGAAGAGGCAGGAGTTTGGCTACGGGGTACATGCAATCAAGCATACATCTTGGTAGAAGGCAGCTGCTGGTCACTAGGAAGAGATATCTCAGTTAATGATTTTGGTGTTTTTCTAAGTGTGGGAAGATGCAAGAATCTCAATTCATAAGAAATTTCTCCTGGAATTTAACTATCTAAGGGTTTTGCCTCTTTTCCACCAAAGCACAGAATGCCTCATCCTGCTCTTGCCCTGAATTCTTTTCAGGGTGTATTGTGGGTCTGGGACTGCAGCGGCTAATGACCTCATCCTTATAGAACCTTGTGATGAGCGACATTCTTTGTCTTACAGGTTTAAAAATAATAACTTCTCAAAAAAAAATCATTTCCCAAGAATCCTGTTTGGACCATGTGGGGGTAGGGGGATCAAATACAAGTGCAAGTATATTTCTTCGTTAGGAAAAAATACTCAAAAGTTCTCTCAGACCCTTTCTGGCCGTTACGAAAGCCAGTGAGCATGCGCGAGAGTACAGTGAGGGACAGGCAATCCGCCCGTTTTAAGAGGTGCAAAAAAGCGAGGCCTTACCGTTTCTGCATTTAGAAAGTAGAGCAAAGAATCCTGCAAAAAGGTTAAAAAACAATCAAAGGTAGCTCAGGTGCATTTCTTAAAGCAACAATCTTGCAAACCCAGTTCTTGGGAATTCCCCCCCGGCTTAGGCGGTGGAGGGACGCAAGTAGCAGGTCCCTTCTGCGCGAAAAGAAAGGCCAAGCCTGCAGCGGTGACCCGGAATAGCCAGACGACTCGCGGTCAGGGTTCAACCAATCAAAGAGCAGAGTGGGGCCCACCTCGCCGGTGATTGGAAGATCGGGGAGGGGCGGGGCGGTGACTCCGGCGCATGCGCTCCTCCGCAGCTTGGCCCGAGTTTCCTCCGTGCAGTTTGCAGACCGCTGGGAGTGTATGTTGCGGATTTGCTCCTTCCCTGCTCTCCTTTGGCTTTCCCTGCTGTCTGCCCTGCTCAGCCCCGCGATGCCGGTGGATCTCAGCAAGTGGTCCGGGCCCCTGAGCCTGCAGGAAGTGGATGAGCGGCCGCAGCACCCGCTGCTGGTTAAATACGGCGGGGCGGAGGTCGATGAGCTGGGCAAAGTGCTGACACCCACCCAGGTACCCGAGGGCGGCGAGGGTGCAGCTGCCCGAGGCTAGGAGGCCCTCAGGCCGGCGGGGCGGGGACCCGAGGAGGTGGGGAGGACGTTCCGGCCTCCGTGTGTCCAATTCACCGAGAAAAAGGGGTGGTTATGCCCATGTAGCAGGCCTGAGGACGCCCGGAGCTTGGGGAACCCGGCACGTGGCGGGCGGGGCTCGGCCTGTGGGAGGAATTGACCCATTTTCCCAGTACTTCGAGGCGCAGGCAGTGGCGTCGTCCTGGAAACAGTCCAGATCGGGGCGGGGGGGGGTCGGGAAGGGGGCCGTCCTCGAGAGGGAGTGGGCAGTGGCCACCCCCACGACCCCAAAGGCTTCCCTACGGTCTCGGGATTTCAGGCCTCAGTTTGGGGAGCAAAAGCCCCATCCAAGGGCGTATGACGCATTATGTAACCAGTGATCAGCAGTGCCCAGCCATTCCTCCTTTGTTTTAGCAGTCAGGAGCGTGAAGCCATCCAAATGTAAGTGCGTTCTGCAGATGGAAGCTCCAGGGTAACGGCCTTGTTTTACCGTTTGGCCCTTGGTTGCGACCAGGTCCTGGCTGCTGCAAGTGGAGAAACTCCTGTGTCCAAAACCGGGGAGTTGTTGGTCTTTAAACTCAGGGGCAGCGATGTGAATAGACTGCTCGGATGGTTTATTAGTTTAGATGTTTACAGAGTTTGTTTTGGGTGTTTAAGTATAAAGTGTTCCTCTCACGGCCTCCCTTTCCCAGACTCACTGTCAAGTCTGCCCATCTTGGCTTTCTCATTTTCTGTGCACTTTTAAATATCCAGTTAATTCAGATTTCACTTTAGCAGACCCGGGGTAACGTGATCTCCAAATCTAGAGACCCTCTCATTCCAGAAAACGTAAGATTGTAGTTGAGAGGACTACACACTCAGTCAGCTATTCGATTAGCTCCAGGATTAAAATCCTGACCCACTTGTTTCTGTTAATAACATGCTAGGATACTACCTCTCTAGTGTTACTGGGACTAAAATAAATAATGTATATTAAACTTCAGCTCCTGGCTCTTAGTTGGGTCACTGCACTTGAGCTTTTATTAATAATTTACTCTGCTTCACCTATGAGGAATCTGAGGTCAAAGAAAGAGTGTTGGTTTCTTCAGTGTTTCTGACTTAAGTGCAAGTCCATTCCTTCTGCAGGTTAAGAACCGGCCCACCAGCATTGCATGGGATGGCCTTGATGCAGATAAACTCTACACCTTGGTCTTGACAGACCCGGATGCTCCCAGCAGGAAGGACCCCAAATACAGGCAAGTTGGGGAATGATGTGGAAACAGTGAGTCATCCAAATCTGATCTGGTGCTTCTTGCACCGTGTAAGTCCCTCGCTGGACAGACTGTGCTGGGAGAAGTAGACCCAGTTTGGGATGTTTTCATCCCTGCTTAAGCCTGAGTGTGCATTTCACTCCCTAGAGCAAGAGTCTAGAAACTACAGCCAAGAGCCAGATCTGCCCCAGGCCTGTTTTGGTACAGCCCCACAAGCTGAGAATGGCTTTTTTGTTTTGAAGTGAATGGGGGGGTACCCTGAAGAACAATAATACTCTGTGACATGTGGGAATTACGTAAAATTCAGATTTCGGTGTCCATTTAGCTATAATAACTTATGTCCTGTCTCTGGCTGCTTTCATGCTTTTGGTAGCTGCAGAGTTGAGTAGTTGTGATAGAGACAGTACATTGTGCAAAGCCTAAAACATTTACTGCCTGGCCCTTTGCAGGAAAAGCTTGCTGACCCCCTGCCCTAGAGAATCGGAGGGAGGGAGGGAGTGGATGGGTCCTCTCTGCTGGCCCATGACGTATGCACTGGCCAAGAAGGCAGGGCCGTCCGTCTTGTCCGTCGCTGCATCCTGGTGTGGAGCACGTGCTTCCTGTGTGTTGGCTGGCTGCACTGTGAGTGTGTGTGGGTGTGTGCTCACTTCCATGGGTGCTGATGGTCCTCCGTTCTTCCACGTAGGGAGTGGCACCATTTCCTGGTGGTCAACATGAAGGGCAACAACATCAGCAGTGGCACAGTCCTCTCTGATTATGTGGGCTCTGGGCCTCCCAAGGGCACAGGTCAGTAAAGGCTGCTTTGGGAGGGGGCTGGGAAGGGAGGCTGGGTGCGTATTAGGAGTGACCTTAAAGTGCTGCAAAATTTTAGTCTGGTTCTTAGAGTTTTATTCTTTTATTTATGAGAGCCCTTACCCTAGTGAAGATTTTAGGCTACTCAGTTCCCCTCTGAGGCAGTTGCCTGTCTGGGGCACTCGGGACCTGCAGTAGTGTCAGGGGGCTAGAGTCTTGGGTACCAGTTAGATGGACGCAGGGTAATTGGTGAAGAGATACCAAGGAAGTAGCTTTGCAGAATGCTCAGAACAGCTTCCCAGGGAAGCTCCACATGGATTAAACAGTTAAATCATCTAAGTTCTAAATTGAACCTATGCCCTGTAGGATCTTTGAGTGTCTAGTTCCCATGAAAGTTCTCAGAGATAGTCATAGTTTCCAAATTAATTATAAAAAGTTGGCTTCTTTATCGTTCCCTCTTTGTCTCGAAAATCCAGCATGGTATCTTGAAAAGATCTGGAAGACTTGAAGAACTATATTGAAGATACTCTTATTGTATTGCATTATATTATACATTATATATCTAGAGAGAGAACACTGTATTGAACCTTTCCACGTTGGACAAATGCTGCTTTAGCTCATGGTGGGAGAAGTACTGTCAGTGCCCGCCATACTTACAGGGTGTTTCCATTTGCTGGAACAAGGAAGTGGTGGTAGGTGGAGCGTGGCAGAACACGAGCTCTGTACACACCGTCCAGCTGTGAGTTGGCCTGAACCAGGTACAAGAAGGCCCCTGACAAGGGACCTCATGTTTTATCTGTAGGCCCAGAAGCTTCACACGGCTCCAAGCCCTCTCATGCGTTCCTAAGAGGATGGCAGAGGGACAGCTTCCCAGCGATCTCTTGAGTTCTCTAGGGCAGTTATACAATTAGGCGGTTTAATTATGGGAACTGCACCCATGAGAATAAAGCGATTCTCACATAGGAGCTGTGTTCTCATTAACAAAAAGAGCTTCAAAAACTCACTTTCTTTTTTCTTCTTTTTTCATATTCTTTTAGTAAGGTCTAACTTACATTTAATAAATCATACAAATCAGGAGGGTTTAGTCAGTGACTATTGACTGGTGCACACGAACATGTACACACCACTGAAAATGAGGTGTGGGATATTTCTGTTGTCCCAGGAGGTTCTTTAAGTGATCTTTTAAGTTAAATTTCCCCAGGGCTAACCATTCTCTGACTCCTCCCTTCATAGATTACTCTTGCTGCTCATGGAGTCAGACACATGGTGCCATGCAGTATGCATTTGTTTTTGGTCTTTTTGACTCAAGGTTAACGTCTGAGAGATTCATCCATGTTATTGTCATATTAGTTCATTCCTGTTCATTGCTAAGTGGTATCCCATGGTGGGAATACACCATGCTTTGTATAGCCTTTCTCTGGACATTTGGGTTGTTTCCAGTGTTTGGAGATAACGAATAAAGCTGTTATTTCTGTTCTTGTCCTTTTGTGGGCAAGTATCTCCACTTCTCTTGGGTAAATGCTGAGTAGAAATGTTCGAGGGCGGGTCATAGAAATTGTCTTGAGTGTTCTCCAAAATGGCTGAAAATTTTTTACACTCTAATCAGCAGTATAGGAGAGTTTTAGTAGATCCATAGAAGATTCGTACCATATGTAGATCCATACCAAGATTCATCCGTGTTGTAGCACGTGACAAAATTTCCTTCTTTTTTAAGGCTGAATACATATATACTACATTTTGTTTATCCATTCATTCATCAGTGGACATTGACATTTGGGGTGCTTCACCTCTGGGCTATTGTGAACAAAGCTGCAGTGAACTTAGGTGAATAAATATTTAAATAAATTTTTTTTTAAGTAGCTCACGGTACCTATTTGTGTCGAGTACTTGGAGTTTGCAGGAAACTGCAAGGGTAATAGGGTGCTTGCTGGCTGGTTTTAAAACATTCTTTGCTACTTAATTGGTTAAAGTGAGTTTGGGTCGTTTCTTTCAAAGTAAGTCTCTAGACATCTAAGAGGGTGAGTTTTGGAGGCAGAGAGATACTTTTAGGCTTTGCTGTGGTGTGATGAGCACCTGGTCAGGGACTTGCTGTGTTCTTCATCCATTTCTCACATGTTTTTTAGCACCTCCTGTTTACCATGCACAAGGGTAGGTTATGGGGTGAAAATGGCCAACAAGACAAACATCATCGCTTTATAGAGCTCTCTTTCTAGTGAGATTAAAAAGTAAGGATTTTAGGGAACAGTGTTACTGTGGAAGAAGTAAAATGAGCATTCTGATGGGAGTGGTGGAAAATGAACAGCAATAGGGTTCTGGTGGGATAGACTGAGGCCTCGAGGGGGATGAAGGAGCAGAGCGGGAGGAGAGTGGTCAAGGGAAGACCCTGTGGGTCCTTAGAGGCCGGAACGTGGGGTAGGGGCTTTATGCAGATTGCAGCGGGGAGCCACTGGGTGGTTTTCAGCAGGTGAATGACCCACCTCTCAGGATCCTCAGTGTCCCTCTCCTCAGTGGGGTGGTCTGGGTCCCTCCAAGTTGGTGAGTTCTCCAACAATGGGTGACATCTCCCTCTCAGATGCTGAGCTGTGTGTATGTCTCCCCTCCTGCCTCTCCCTCCAGGTCTTCACCGCTACGTCTGGCTGGTTTACGAGCAGAACAGTCCACTGAAGTGTGACGAGCCCATCCTCAGCAACCGGTCTGGAGACCACCGCGGCAAATTCAAGGTGGCGTCTTTCCGCAAAAAGTACGGGCTGGGGGCCCCGGTGGCCGGCACGTGTTACCAGGCGGAATGGGACGATTATGTGCCCAAACTCTACGAGCAGCTGTCTGGGAAGTAGAGGAGGGCTAGGAGATGGGAACCGTCCCCAGTGTTGCCAAGCAGTGTTTCAAGTTTAATGATGCATGTAGATTTCTCCCCTTCCCTGTTCCCGAGCTCTGAGCAGTCAGATCTAGGTTTAGGGTGACTTTTCCTTCTACCCGTCCTAATTCTAGAGGGTCATACACTCTGGTTTATGTTTAGATCAAATCTGACGTCCATTTGGGGGGATATTTTCATACTGTGATGGGGTCATCAAAATGTTAACGTAAGAGTAGCAACCCGGAATTTAAGGAAGAAGAAAATTCTGGTAAAAAGACCAGGTCTATCGTAATAGATTAAGAGCATCAGAGAATCTTCAAGGGAGGTTGAAAAAAGATTTGTGGTGAGCGGGAGCCCATCTTCTAGCGTGTTCTCACAGCCCTGTCTCTCACCAAGACAACCAAGGGCTGGCATGTTCACTAACCACCCCCCACCCCCATGTGGTACATCTCAGGCTGGTTACTGGGTGTCAGTGGCCTGCTCTGGCTGCTTTCAAGAGCAGTACTGGAAAAGCAATAGAGCTTTGCTTTGCTGTTGGAGCCCGGCCACCTAGAGCTGCAAGACTGGGTGAGAGGTTTATCAGAAATCTGAAAATCTATGCCTGTTAAATTGATTGTTCTTCTTTGGTGTAAGAAAAGCCAGCTTGGACTTGCTGAATGTTGTGTTAATTCTGCTATTTGCTTATAGTTGAATAAAAATAAAAACGTTGTGTGGATGAACCAGGCCTCCAGATGTTTTGCCCTTTCGTGTGTGGGGTTTCCTAAATGTGGGAAGTCATGAGACAGCCCCTAAGGGTCAGTATCCCGTTTCCATAACCAGCAGGATGATTGGGACTTGATTCAGGGACCAGAGGGTCCACACTTATACATGTCCCACTAAATACAGCAGAAGCAACCATTTAAACTTGAGGTTTAAAGAAAAAAAAATCACAAAACTTTAGGCCAAGTCTTCTTGCCCCAAAAGCAGCTTTGCTTTTTGTAATTGGTCCTTTCCACCTGACAGTAAAGCTAGTTGAAAACCTTCCTCCTTGGTGTAGTTCTGTATAATGACTGAGAAATTGGCCCACGTCTCTCACTGTTCTGATTGTAATCCCTATAGAATCTGTACCAAAAAAAGAGGGGAAGGTGGGGCAAGGGAGGATGACTTTGACACCACTTGATGTACCAAAAGAAAGGATGGAAATTGACACAACATTGTAAATTGACTATAACTCAAAATAACATTAAAAGTGTATATATTCATATACATATAACACACTCTCTGGAAAGATCTATAACAAAATGTTAATGGTGGATGCTTCTAGGCAATGATATTAAAGGTGTTTTTTACTTAAAAAAAAACAAAAAACAAAAAACAAAGGAGGTTTCACTGACCTGGTCTGTTGATGTGGAGGGATGCTGATCAGGCCTGGCACGTGCTCAGCAGGGCTGGGCCCTTCTTCCCTTTCATGGCAGTACTTTCTTCTCTGGAAAAACTTGGAAATGTTGCCTCATGTAGTCTCTGGGGGTGGATGAGGTAGGGTCAATTTTTTTTTTTAACTTCAGGGTTTTAAAGTTCAATTTTAAAAAATATTTCTTAATATTTAAAGTATTTATCAAATTAGAATGTGGTGGTAAAAATCTCTTCACAAAGATGTCACCTATAAACCAACCAGCCTTGATTCATTCAGTTTGCCTTTCCAATCCTGGTCGCTTTGTGAGAATCCACGACTTCAGATTTTCTAGCTCACCTTTGCTTAACTCCTGGTAAACACCTGGGAAACTATGAAATTTTGTGCTCACTCCTAGAGATTTTTAACATTGAGTTTGTCTCTTCATCCCAAGAGTGAGGAACTAACTCATCTGCAGTACCACAACATGGAAATAATTCAGGGAGTACACCATCACTTTTCTGAAGAGCCTGGTAAACAGCAGATGTTTTTATTCAGAAAAGCAGAAAGAGCAAATACTGCCGCAACTTGGTATTTCTATATGCTAATTGCATTGCCACGCACCCACCCATAGAAAAGTGTACTAATACCGTGTTCTTCTTGAGGCCACTTTTTACTTCATCAGTCAAATGTGTAAGCACCTGACACATTAACATCAATCGATTCAAGGTGTTCTGGGTAGTCATTAGATACAAATCTGTCTGAATCATCCACTGGAGATTGCTCCTTTCAAAGGAGTAGATGGTCAGGGAGGAGCTGTTGGATAAATAACTTTTATGTGTTGGAATATTAAACCTTGATGTAAAACTTGCTATGTCCACATTCTCAGTCCTTGTCCAGAGTCACCTGGGCTGTGCCGGAAGATCAGAGAGGTGCCATGCCTCCCAGCCGGCCACACGGTGCAGCGCTGCAGGCCCAGGGAGCATGAGGCAGCCGCGGTGGCTGCTGCCTTGAACAGGGGTGAGGTGTGTGTCCCAGGCCCCGCCCACTAAAATTCAACTTTTAAATAATATTTTGTAAAACAGACGTTATAAAGGAAACAACTACCCTGTTGACCTTAAAAATAAATGTGAGGATAAACAAGTTCCTACTGTATAGCGCAGGGAACTATATTCAATACCTTGTAATAGCTTAAATGAAAAAGAACATGAAAAGGAATATATATACATATAACTGAATCACTATGCTGCACACCAGAAATTAACAACATTGTAAACCTGTACTTCAATGTAAAAAATAAAACGAATTAATAAAAAAATAATACATATGAAGAGATGTGTAAGTAATCTTAGGAGCAAAGGGATACCGTGCTTCACCTATTAAACTGGAAGGGAGACTTGAACTTGCCCAAGGGCACCAGGCTAGGAAGTGGGCGATTCTGGTTCTGCAGGCAGCTCTGGCCTCAGAGCCCAGCTTATCACTGCCGTGCCTACTTGCACACAAAATACCCTTTGAGGCTCAGCCTCCTCATGTGCAAAATGGGTGGGGGCGGTGTCGGGGGAGGAAACATTAATCTGCCTTGTCTATCTCAGAGGGTTGTTGCAGAACCACAAAATGATGTTTTGTTGTGATTAAGTGAATTCATCCACGACAGTGATTAACGTGACCTGACTGACATGCAGGAACACATGACCACAAGTGGCCCGCTCTCCTCAAGGCTGCTTCCTGGTTTATCAAAAGTGTGTCTGCAGGGTTTAGGGTGAAGAGAGATAGGAGGCTGTTCGATATCATGGTGCAGCTTCAGCAGCCCTGCCAGAGCCCAGGATTTCTACTCTGGAGCCTTGCCCATCATTCTGACTTGATGGCAGAACACATGTCAAGCGTGGCAATTACTCTGGAAGTCCTATATTAGATCCTGATGAACAGATCCTAAGACCAGGCCTCAGAAACACAGGACTGGCATCTCTCTCATACTTAAACGTGACAGTACTGGCCCAAAGCCTCTGCTGGGTCAGAGAGTGAACTGTGCAGCTTCAATGCCTACTTTTAAAACCTTTCAGCTGTTTGCAGCTGCTCTGGGATGTAGATCCTTAAATGGCCTATGAGGCTCTGTATGATCTGAGCCCCTTTCCCCTCTCTAGCCTCCTACAGTTGTCTTCTCTTTAAACTCCAAACTTGCTGGCTGCCTCTCAGTTCCTGGATGGGCCAGACTACTTCCAGATTTGGTCTTTTACAGACGGTGCCTGGAATCTTCCCCTTCCACTTTGACAATATCCCATTCGCCCTTTAAGTATTCCTTGACTGACTTTCAGGGAATCCTTCCACAACTAGGTAAGATTCTCCTGTGCTGCTTAAAATTGTAATTTTAAAATATGGATATTGTGTAATTTTTAATTTAATGTTTACCTCCTCTATGAGTCGATCCTTCACGGAGGGAAGGGCAACCAATTTCCTGTTCAATTATCTCTAGCATCGCACATATGTCTCACATACAATGAAATCTCAGTGACCATCAGTCGAATGAATAATTGTAAAGGGGTTCTTAAGTTTAGGGAGCATGGGCTTCTTTATATTCATACACTGTGCCAAAAGAGTTCCTTCTCGCCTTTCCCAGATGTATCCTTCTACAAAAACTCACATACAACTGAGTTTTTACAGAGTTCTCTAAAGCCCATTCGTCAACTGCTTAATTCTGATGACCATGAACATCAGAAAGCTAGTCTCAGTCTGATGTCCCCTCCAATCAGGAATCTGTATCTTTTAGCTTTTTTCTTACCCTCCTCTTATCTCCTTTCCTCGATCTGCTTGTACCTTTTTCTTGAGGAAACTCAAATGGACTGAAAAATTTCCAATAGTCTTACGATCACATTTCTGGAAGTACTAAATAGGGCCATCTCTCGGATTCTACCTTGATAAGCTCCCGCTTAACCTGTTAACAGGTAGAATATTTCTTTTTCAACTTTATTGAAGTATAATTGAAGTGCATTATGCTGCACATACTTAAGCTTGTAATTTGATAAGTTTTATGTAGGTATATACCAGGAAACCATCACCAAGATCAAGATAAACAATTCCATACCTCCAAAAGCTTCTTCACCTCTCTGTAATTCATCCCTCCTCCTTCTAGCCTTCTCCCACGTCACTACGGATCTGCCTTCTGTCACTATAGTTTCCATCTTCTAGAATTTTACATAAGTGGAATCATATCGCACATACTCTTTTTTGGCCTGGCTTTTGAGGTTGATCTGTGTTGCTGCACGTAGCAACAGTTCAAGTAGTATACACCGTGTGCACATAACAATTTATCCATTCAACTGGTGTTAGACATTTGAGGGTTTTCTAGGTGTTCTTGCTATGGCACAGCTGCTATGAATATGTGTATAGGTTTCTGTGTGAACCTAGGCTCTCATTTCTAGTGTAAAAACCTAGAAGTGGGATTGTGGGTTGTACACTAAGCGTGTGTTTAACTTCATAAGAAACTGTCAAATTGTCTTCAAAAGTAGATGTACTATTTTACATTATGAGACTTTCACTTGCTCCACATACTCAACAAAATTAGTATTTTCTTTCTTTTTTTTTCTAGACATTTTCTTGGACACGTAGTGTTCTCTCTTTTAGGTTGGATTTCCCTGATGACTGTTGATGTTGAACATTTTTCCATGTGCTTACTGGTTATTTGTATGTCTTTTTTTTGGAAAGTGTCCATATTTTGTCTCATTTTCTTATGGCTCATCTTTATATTATTTAGTTGTAAGAGTCTTATATATATCCTGGACACACACCTTTGTCTGAAATGTGTTGTGAATACTCTCTTGGTCAGGCTGTGGCCTGTCTTTGGAAGAGCAAAATTTATTTGTTTTAATGAAAG